AGCAGGAGGCGCCGCACCAGCGCATTCAGCCGCTCGCCCAGGCTCTGGAAGGTGACCAGCGTCAGGGGGATGCCCAGGAGCGCGTAGAACATGCAGAAGACCTTGCCCGAGTCCGTGCCGGGTGCGGCGTGGCCATACCCTGGAGGGAGAGTGGAGGGGGAGGGTCGGTGAGTACCTGGCGCCATCTAACAACACGGTGGCCCTCGGCCTGCCTGCCGGCCTCCCATCCCCCAGAGTGGGCTGAGCAACTTGACAATGCTCAACCTATCTAGCACATCCTCTGGCTTCCAAACCTTGCACGGCTATCCGTTATCACCCCAAACTGTAAACAACCCCAATGTCCCTGGACTGGAAAATGGATAAATAACCCGAAGTGCATCCATACAGTGGAATTCTTTGGAGCAATAGAAGGGAATGGACTGCGGTTATCTGCAGCAACAAGGGACGAATCTCACATGTATTATGCGGAAGCCAAGCTCAAAAGGTACAAACTGTATGATTCCAGTTAAATGTTTCGCTGGCAAAAATACGATGGAGACAGAGAGCACATCTGTGGTTGCCAGTCATTGAGGCGGAGGAGGGGTTACCTACCGAAGAGGGGGTGACAGGACTTTGGAGGGGGATGGAGAGGTTCTGTCTTGATTTCAGCTGGCCCGACTTGATTTGTCAAAACCCACAGAAGTATGCACTGAAAGATGGTGAGTTTTACTGTATGTACATTGTGTTTTGATTTTTTTTTTAAGGTAAAATCTTCCGTGGCTCCCAGTACTCACAGGGTAAAGAACTAGTTCTCACATAGTGTCTGAGCTCCTTTGTGATCTGAATCCCCATCACCTCTCCAGACCCCACGCTGCTTCCCCAGCCAGCATGACCCACCACCTGCCTTTTCTCCTGTCTAAAACAGGGAAATCATTTAGAAAAAGAAAATGCAAAGGACCTGTGACAAATGAGATATTAGGGGAGGGAAAGTGGGTATAGTGTGGTGATGGTAGGAAGAGGGAGAGACGAAAGGACACCACCACCACCACCACCACCACTACCACCCCGTTGCCCTATCTGCCCTGCCCCAGGCCACTCTTCTTTCCCAAATCTGCCCCAAGCCCCTTGAATAGATTAGGAGTGAAATTATACAATGGAAACTGCAGTGAAAAAAATATGGGAAAATATCGCCTCCCCTCCTCCTCCTACCACCACCACCACCACCACCACCACCACCCCGTTGCCCTATCTGCCCTGCCCCACGCCACTCTTCTTTCCCAAATCTGCCCCAAGCTCCCTCTCACTCAACACCTCTTTAGTCTGGTGGAGCGATTCTCCACTCGGTCCCCTCAACTGGTGTCGGGCACCTGAGACAAGTGGATATGTGTCTTTTCCAGGAGAGGGGAGTGAAGGCTTTCATGATATTCTCAAAGGGCCCCGTGACCCAGGAAAAGTCAGGGAGCCCTTCCCCAACAGAATATGCCCCCTCTAGCAAACTGGCCCCATTGGCCAGAACGTAAAATACCAGGCCCTTTGACTTAAGCAATTCAACGGTGAGGAAGTTAGTCCTCCAAAACAGCAGTCGCCAACCTTTCGGACCTCACGGACCACCGGTTGGCGACCCCTGCTCCAAAACACATAGTGATGTATGCACATTGTTATCATTAAAGCATTGTTGCTCTTGGTGAAAATTTTGGACAACCCAAGTGTCCATCAGAGGGGCCTGGTTAAATAAATCACGGTGCCATCCAAGGGATGTAATACTACACAGCAGGTTCCAGCCAGGGGTGATTTTGCCCCTGAGGGGGCATTTCGCAATGTCTGGAGACACTTTTGGTTGTGACAACTGGGAGGTGGTGGCTGCGTGCTACTGGCATCTTGTGGGTAGAGGTGGGGTACTGCTAAGCACTTGCCATGCACAGGACAGCCCCACAACAAAGAACCCTTCAGTCCAAAATGCCAGTTGTGCCAAGGCGAGAGGAGCTCCTATGCGGCCATGAAAAAGATGACACAGTGCTTGAGGGACTGATATAAAAATATCACCAAAATGTGGTGTGGGGTGGAAGTAGGTTTATGGCGGTTAGTACTCGAAACACAGTTTATTCTTGTATTACTATTCGTTAATTATTGCATTGTTTTCCATAAAGACAACTGTAAACGTTCTTTTGCCCCACTCTGTATACAAGTTAAAAAAGCAAGAAACAAAACAGTGTGTATATTGTCATGTCTATGTAATGTGTGTGTTTTAAAGGAATATAGAGGCAGAGACTATATCTAGGAGGACACACAAGAAACCAGTAACTATTTAATCTAGGGAAAGGAATTTATGGGCTGAGGGACAGGGTAAGAGGGAGACTTCCTTTTCATTTTATACCTTTTTTGGACCATGTAAGTGTGAAGTGTGTACATATGTAATTTATTCAAAATACCAACACAATATATGTGTTTAAAGACCTTCAGGTCCACTTCCCCTTTTCCAATACGTGGCCCTGTTATTGGGGCAGCGAGGGCTCTGCCCACCACCAGACTGTGAGCTCCTTGAGGCCAGAAGCCATGCCAGTCACTTCCCTGTGTCTCTAGTCACCAGTGCCTTTTACAGATGCTGGCACAGGCTAAGGGGTCAACAAAAATTTAATCATCAATAATAGTAACGAAACCAAATTGAAGGGGGTCTGAGACAGAGGAGCCTCTTTAGGAGTAAGAGGCCAGGTAGGCTGTTTCCAGCTATTTAGGGCTACGTCGGGGTTTTGGCAGAGAGTGAAATGATAAAGATAACTAAACATGCTGGGTACTTTACATGGGGTATCTGATTTAACTCTTTCCGTGCCTGTACGAGATGACATTATCCCCATTTCACAGATACGGAAATTAGGATTAGAGGAATGAAGCTGCCCAAAGGCCACCAGGCCTGAGCTCTGAGCCTCTATCCTCCATTGCTTCTCAGTGCCTCTCTCCTGTCCTTGCGGTGCTCACGCTCCTGGGTCCCGGGTTATCTGCAAGGCGGCCTTATGCAGCCTGCACCACACAGCGCCCCCAAGTGGCCAAAAAGGCAAAACTCCGGTTTCCCTCTTTAGTCCCTTCCCCAGGCTCCCAGATGCATGGGGGCAGGAGGGTTAGAGAGGCAGGTAGGGAGGAGAACTACCAGGAGAGGAGGCCAAACACAGCTGGGAGGCCTCCAAAGAATGTGCAGGAAAGCAGAAGAGATGGATGGGGTCCCACACCACCGGGAACAGAGACGGGGGAGGTGTGGGGGGGGGTTTAGACTGAGCCAAGATAGAGAAGCAGGGGTGCCCGTGTTGACAGAGGGCATAAGGGCTGAATGGGAGCTGGGCCCACAGTTGGCAAATAATGAATTGTCATTATTACTAATTACCAGTGCCTATTTAGCCTCAGGCACTGTGCCAAGCATTTTACATGCTTGACCTCATTTAAACCTGGCAACTGCCCAGTGAGGCAGGAACAATTGCATTTCGAAGTTGAGGAAACCAGGGCTCAGAGAGGTACAATCAGTTACCAGAGAGGCAGGACGGCGATAGCGATGAGAACATGTAATCGCAGAACTTGGGTTTTAACGCCACTGCCAAACCCACAAGCTCACATTCACTTGCAAGAACATTATAGAGACATTTCCTCCAAGGCCTGGGCTTCCACGGGGGCACCTGCACACCC